AAAACAGCTTTTTCCTTCTATGAGGACTAAAATAAAATAAAACAGCTTTTTCCTTCTGAGTGGACCAAAATAAAACAGCCTTTTCCTTCTGCTAACCTCGTCTTTTGACACACAACAGTGATGAATGCAAGCGACGACAAGATAATAAGTATATGTGATGCAGCGTGGTGGAATCAGGCTCTCGTCAATTTTTGGGCATATTGAGTTATCGGTATCATCTTCAAATTTGTTCATTTGTCTTGCTTTCAATGATAAGATTACCCATCCATCTTCAATCGAAGTGGAGATATTTTGGATTGAAGGAGGTGGGGGTCACCTGGTTTCAGAGGTAAAATTAGCGAGAAAATGGCCGAAAAAGCTTGGTAAATTCCAACGCTGGAGAGTCAATGGAAACTGTAAATTTATATTTTTTGTGCCTTTAAACAACGTTTTCGGGGAAATCCTCAAAAGAATGTATTTGTAAATGGACATACAAGGTGTTGTGCCGAAAAACAAAAAATTTAATAAAAATTGCTAAGCAGGGAGAAAACTGCTGTTTTCTTCGATTTCATTATTTTGACGAGAGCCAGATTCCACCACGCTGCCTCACATATTATGTACATCACGGAGAAAGTACTCACTGAGAAAGGGGTGGTGCAGAGATAGGGAAAACGTAGCCACCATGGCGTTGAATCCCAGCGCCTTGCTCAAGTTGTCCACCCCTAGCAGGTCGATGGCGAGCACAGGCATGAAAGACATCCGGGCGCCTCCGAACATTCCATAGGTGGCGCTCAACAGCACAAGGGTAGGGAAAGAGGAGAAGAAGTGTACGAGGTGGCACATGGTGCCTACTATGACCTGTGGAGGAGAGGGGGAGGGAGAGAGAGAGGGGAGGAGAGGGAGGGAGAGAGAGAGAGGATGATGATGATGATGATGATGATGATGATCATGGGAAGGGGCGAAAGGCGAGTGTGTGGGAGTGAGGGGGAAAGGGGTGGGAGGGAGCCACACTGACCACACGGGGGAACCGTAGGTGGGTGGATGAGGGAAAGGAAGGAGGGAGAAGGGAGGAGGGGGAGGGAAAGAGGGGAAAGGAAGGAGGGGAAGGGGAGGAGGGACAGGGAAGGAGGGGGAGGGAACGGGGTGGGAGGAATCATTACTGACTTGTCGTAATTGTGGACACACGGAGGGGGGATAGTAGGTGAGTGGATTATGGGGAGAGGAATGAGGGAGGGGCCTTGGAGAGAGGGGGGGGGGAATTGAGGGAATCATAAGGCCAACCTTACATAGGAAGACACACTGCACGCAGCTCACGACGTGTGGGCATGCGACGTCCGACAGGTCTTGACCCCCCCAACGTCACATAGACGCGACACGCGACAATATATAGGTGGTCACATTTCCTTTCGTCGTGATGGATTCTTCTGATGAAGATACATTAATTTTGTTAGCATTGCTAATAAATACAAAGAAGAGAAAAAAGCGCACCATGTGGTCCCGTGAATATCTATCTATCCAACTTCAACTAACTTTTTGCTCATTGAAGATGCGTAAAGACGACAAATTGTTCTTCGACTATCTAAGAAAGTCATTCAAAACTTATGAAGAACTCAAGACACTGGTGATTTCGCACCAAAAACAAGTGGGTTGTATTTTCCCAAACGTGTTTTCTTTGTTCTTTGTTATGGTGGTCTTAGTTTTGGGGCCCCAAATAAGTGGCCTGGTTCTCACAAGCTCAATAAGTTTCTTCTTCTTGTCGACCATCTCGGGTTTACCTGTACTGCCACACACTACACGCCTCACAAAAAGTGAACGAATTGTCTTTTCAGCTCATGCTGTTCTCTTTACCGCTGTGTCGTGTTGTCATATGTAAGGCGGAACTCTTAAGTTATCTGTGTGCCTTTTTTGTTTTCACGCGTGAGATGCACTTTGTGACGCTGGTCGTGTATGTCCCTACGGCCTTACGGTAGATCGGACTTATTGACCATTCGGACTTATGGACACACCGAGAGGGAACAGTAGGTGCTTGAGGGG